GAGGCTGCCGCCGAATGCTGCGGATATAAACGGGTTGGCCTGCCGCCTGGAGGTCAGAAAAGATCTTCATCGTGGACATCAGGAATTAGATTGACTGTCACCACCGTGAAGAAGGTTGCATTCAAGAGGCTTCTTTGAAGCAATGTGCATTCGACTCAAATGTAGTAGAAACGGTCAAAACTACCTTAAGGCAGGTATCTCGAAGCACTCAGCACTCAAGTTGTCTTTTGCTGAAGCTCAAACGCTTGCACAGGATCGTGAATGTTTCCGCTTCTGCGACCTGAGAGGAAACACAATGATCGAAATTGGCTGAAACAGCGCAATGTTATGAAATACACCAATCTTAATTTGAACTGGAGCATCCATTGTTCCATTAATTCTTTCGAATAATCTGGTCTATCACTTTCCAACAGTAACTCAACCAAAACGAGTCGTCACACGCTCAGCTTTTAATACCCCGACGTTGGTTCCCTCCTCGTCAATGGAACGCACTAAAAGAGAATCCCATTGAAAAACCATGGGAAACAGTTCTACAGTACACCGTTTTCTCATTCCGCAAAGCTGACAGATGTTCCGCAGTCCTATCATTATCTTCCATTGCAAATCCTGTCGCTGTCATTCCACTCGATCTTATAAACCATATATTTCATTTACTATCTGCGATTGGTGCTATTCCCCGAAAAAGTACGATTCCATTGAACTGAATGAATCGAATAAATCTGCAGTATTTAATGCGGCTGAAAGGATTTAACTTTTAACATATAATTTAAAATTTCTTCTTCATACATCGACGTGACAGTGTATTTCGATGATGCTGTTGTTTTGAAAACTGAAAAATGCATAACAAACATTTATTCATGGAATAAACTGGTCAATCAGGTGACTGATCAACCGTCGTTTCAGCTCATCTCTCACGAGCCTTCTTCGGGGTGGTTTCTGCAGTTGATTGTCTGTTGATCAGCAACTATCGTGGAGTCTGGAGTCTAAGGGTGCTTTTGGCCCATGCAGTAGTTTTTCGGTCATGGGCTTGGTAAGGTTTACCCAATCCGCGCAGAGTTCGTATCTTTTATTCCAGTTGACATTTTCGCAGGATTGGATAAGTCTCCACTGTCAGTTTCTTTCTTTAACGATGCCTGCGCAATCTGACCGTTGGGGAGGGGGACGTTGCGCGATTCCCGAGGCCTTTCGCTGTTTTTTCTTTGTTGTTGGGATGGTCTGTGTTTGTTTTCTTCCTCGATTCTTCGTTGCCGCATCTTGTTCTCATTCGTCTGCGGTCATCAGTCTTCTCTAATTTTACAGCTGGTATTTTGTTCTTTGGAAGACGGTATTTCTGGCTTCTCCTATGCATCATTTTCCTCTGTCGCACAATAGTTTATAAATCCTGCCATAAAAGTTGCTATTATCAGAGTTAGTTCCTAAAGTATCTAGTTTTTTGAAGCTTATCTATATAACTTTAATATTACATTTAGCGTTAAGTAGTTTTTGCAATGTTTCACTGAAATTATCATAGTCTGGTAGAAATAAGTCGGATTTATTACTCCAAATGCTACTTCACATATTATCGGTACAGCAGGTAGACTTAAAATAACTAATTCTACAATTCGTGTTACAATTAACGAACTTCACAGAATAATTAATTTTAATCTCTCAATGTCAAAGTTGTCTTTATATTTTATATAAAAGGTATTTACCTATGTTAGTAGGTTTATGATAAACTAGTAGTTTTATGACAACAATCAGAGCTGATTATTAAGATGTCAAGAAAGATGAAACTTCAGTTACTTTTCTTTTCAAAGGTTATCCCTATATTTTCAGGGAAGAGGAAATTAAGAAGGCTTAGCAGTTTATTTCCATTTCAAATTCGTTATTTCAAATTTACCTGCAGTACCGATAATTCAAGAAGTAGCATTTCGAATAAAAAACCATATTTAATTTTGCCGCGTTATAAAAATTTCAGTGAAGAATTACAAAGACAACTTAACACCAAATAATATATTAATGTTATATATAAATAAGCTTCAATCAACTTAATATTTTATTAACCATCTATGATAATAGCAACTTTTTAGGTAGTATTTACAAATTACCTTGTGACTGAGAGAAACATTGTATAGGAGAAACCAGAAATACCGTCATTCAAAGAACAAAAGACCACCTGTCAAAATGGAGAAGATGGATGACTGTAGATTTAAGGAAACGACATGCGGCAACAAAAAATCAAGGAAAAACA